ACCCTACTTCCAAATACAAGCCAAACATCACTTTCTGATTACAATCTTCTGTCCTTCCAACTCACTTACTGTAGAAACTCCACTTCAACAATCCTTCAGTTTCACTAAAACCTCCAAGCAATAGTCTGGCCAAATTTTTATTATTTGCTATCTTCCCATGATGGTTAATTCCTTCTTTCACTGACTAGATGACATTACCTGCTATGATTTCTTACCCTCACAAACCCTGAGCTTTGAGTACACTCTTCCTATTACACTTAACAAGTAAGGCCCTCCCTCAACTGACTCCAGCTTGTCCTTCTCATCCCTGCCTGCCTGAGGAACCAAATGGTACTATAGAAAAATACCACATAACTGGGTCCATTTGTCTAACTTGGCAATCACAAACATGTATGACTTATGGGAAGTTTGAGAACATGCTGAAGAATTTCATACATAAAAATATGTATTCCAGATTATCTTAAAAACTATTAAAATCTACAAGCAGCTGTGTACAGCTATCTCCACACGGCAGCAACCACCTGAGCTGAATAACAGATGCTCCTCTGACAATAATAAAAGCAATCTCAAGTAGCACTTCCAAAGGTGTCCTTGAAGCCACATACTGATTTGACAGTTTTATCACTGTGAACTAATTTAACCCTCACAACTAAGAAGTAGAGACTATTATGTTCTTCTTTTGCATGGAGGGAACTAAAGCACTGAGAGGGTCAGTAATCTGCCAGTGTCACACTACATTCAAGCCCAAGTGGGTTGGCTAGAGTCTCAGCACTCAACCACTGCAAGGCCTATGTGCTTGCTATAGTCAACACCAGGGCCTCTTCACTCATTTATCCATCTGCCCTCCTTGCCTCCCCACAGGTGAGCACCATGTTCTAATCCTCCATCTTCCCTGTCTTGGTTAATGACTACATCATCCATGAGCCAGCCTGGCTTCCTCCCTTTACCTCACTTTCCACATTTAATCTGTCAGAATGTCATGTCAGCAATCATTTCATATCCACCTATTCACCTCCCTCTTCATGCCACTGCCCTTGTTTAAGTCTCTGAATGTTCTTGCCTAGTTTACTTTAATGGCTTCCTAAGTGGTTTCCCAGCTTCTACACTAGTCTATTTGTCTCCCAATAGGCAGGGAGATGTTTTTAAGATATGAAACAGATCATGTTATTCCTCCTTAATACCCTTCAATGACTTCCCATTGTTTTTTGAATAAAATTCAACTCCTAGAGACCCTCCATGACTTGGATGCTAACTCTTCCACTATTCCCATGTAGTAATTCCCTCTGTTCAGTTCTGTTCCAACAGCCTTCCTTCTTGTTCCTCAAAACATCAACCCTATTTCCACTTGCTGATATCTGCCTATATTCCTCTCCAAAAGCTTAAAATGGCTGACTCCTTCTCACCCTTTGGATCTCAGAGAAACTTCTCACAGAAGCCTTCCCTAACCACTCTAGAAAAAGTGGCTCCCTCCAATTATTCTCTCTCATCTTTCTTATGTCTCTATTAAGAATTAACACAATCTGTAATTTTTTTTTTGCATTACTATAGTTTTTCTGCCTACTACCCCTATCCTGCTCACTGGTATATGTGTGTTTACTAAGCTGTCAGGAAACATTTCTTGAGCTAATTAATTACTATCTGTAGAGATGACCTTCTACTATTGCTCCTGCTATTAATGCTATAAGTGCCATCTCTCTCCCTTCTGAATGACTGGGCTTTGTACTGTAATGCCACCTTTATTCTTCTCATCCTTTATGTTCACCCACGTATTTTCCAGCTGACTTCATGCTTAATAAAGGGTCCTAGAAACTACTCCATCCTGACCTGTGTCTTCCTACATTTTGATTTCTTATAATAATAATTATTATTATAAATAATAATTCATACCAATATTATACTGTAGGAGGAACTCTGACATGGTGCTTCTGGGATCTCAAATAGCCAATTCTACAATCTTCCTCCTGATTTCTACTTGGTCAGTGCCCCAAACTGAAGCCCCTTCTGAACATGGCTATCATGTTCTCATCTCTCCCAACATCTTCTATAACAACTTCCCAATACTGCACCTGTGAAGAAATAAATGTCATGTGTCCTTTGATGTGAGAACTATTTATTAAAAACCAAACAACAACAACTTCAAAACTGCATATATATAATCATGTGTTATTGCTGGTTATTCCTGTTTCTGAAAACCACAAAATCTCTTAGTGAAACTTTATTTTCTCTGGATTGGGATAAGAAAAAGAAGAACATGATAAACAATAGTGAACAAATGTTTCAAATTATATCTAATATACTTAATTTTCTCCAACAAAATTCAAATATCCTTTCTTAACTAGTTATTTTTTACCTCACCCAACCAGAACTACAAAAGAAAGATTATATCTAAAAGCAGATTAACTCTGTTTCTCTACGAAAATCTTTTTTTTTTTTTTTTTTTTTGGTACTGGGGAGTGAACTCAGGTGCACCCAACCACATATCATATATCCAGCCACATATCCAGCCTTATTTCCCTATTTTGTGTTTTAGAGACAAGGTCTCACTGTGTTGCTTAGCACCTCGCAGGTGCTGAAGCTAGCTTTGAACTCACAAACTTCCTGCCTCAGCCTCCCAAACCACTGTTATTACAGGTGTGCACCACCATGCCTGAAAATCTTATTTATAGTTGTCTACATTTCACAGGGTGAGCTCATATCTGGAACCAATTCCTCTCCCCATCTATAAAGTACAACTGTCCCCCCATGTTGGGGAGGCTCTGGCTGCAGAGTCTTATGATGTCATAGACCAGGAAAAATCACTTATCAATTCCTGGGAATGACAGCTGTTATGCTGATCAGATTTTTGTTTTGTTTTAATGTCAGCAAAAAGTCACTTCAAAAGCAAATGTTAAAAGAAAGCAAAAAGAACTACCATGGCAGAATACTGTTCTTACCCTATCTCTATGTAAGTATAATTCTGTAACCAAAATTCTAAGCTCTTTTTATCTCAATTATGTGATCATCTCAAAGCAGAAAGCACAGACAAAAAAACAGTTAAGTGAACAATGAATTGCTTTTGTTCCACATATTCAGGAAATAGAAACAAGTATTTTTACTCACCTGGATAAGTAATGCTCTCTTTAAGCCTTCTGAAACTTGGACATGTAGTTTTCAAATACACTACTTTTCTTCTGTCACATGAACTTGTTCTTTGACTTTTCATCACCTGGCAAAGGACCAAAAACCATGTGGGCCAACCGCAGAGGACACCCCTAGAAACATGAAGTAGCAATTAGCTTGCTGCTCAAACAACTCTGTATTTTTAAAACTAGAGATATTATGTTTATTATTACTATCATCATCATCATTATTATTTACAAAGATCAATGAGAAAGAAATTTTTGATTATGAAATCAGTCACAAAGAGTAAAGAATGGGTAAGGCAACATGAAAAAAACATACAAATTGGACTTAAGCTTTAAATAAGAACCACACCATGCAATGAACAAAATCTGAGTAATTGGTTTCATATGCCTTGCTGTTTAAAGATACAAACTTTTAAAAATAGAAATTATTAAAAGATGTTCAATTTTCTGGAGGAAATTAATCAGCTGTACACAATATATTCATGAATTAAGAAGAAACCACACCTAATTCTAGATTAAATAACATAGGAGAACAGTTAACAGTTCACCAGAAGAATTAGTCCCCTCACAATAAGTGCTGCTCTCCAACTCCATAGCCACTCCACTGGTATTTCAATTCTCCCACTGCTAAGAGAGATTCTGTTTCCTTGTCCTACTGCTGGGGATCCTCAGGGGCGAGAGGTTCAGTCTGTAGTCAGGATAGCTGATTACTCATTCCAGGGGAGCCTCAGAGTTTTTCCTATCTGAAGCACCTCAGTCATCACCAACTGAAATGAAAGAAATCAATGAGTGGAAAACAAAAATCTGCAGCATCCTCTGCCCTCCCAGAAATTTAGTACTTTGGTGTACTTGGATGGTAAAGGTAGTACGGTGCCCTACTGGGTCCTGATGTCACATTCTTCAGAACTTTTAGTTCATCAAGCTCACCATCTGTGCTGAGTTTCTTCTCAAACCTTTACAAGTACACAAGTCTGCTCCTTTGGAACAGTTCAAATGAAAATCTCCATGAATATGACAAATGAGGTACAAAATAAGGAACTATACAATACCAGTCATGTAATATTGTGAAGTACACAAAAATAGGAGAAAACGTAGTTTGAGAAATGATAAAAATATTTAGAATCTAAAAAACGTAACATAATAGGTACTAAAAAGGCTCAATATATAGCACTTACTAAGTTTAACCTGGCTCTAATATATCCCTTCCAATAAAGTATATCTGGGCAATGCTAACCAAACATAAGGGATCTCTACACTCAAATTTCAGAGCACCTTATCTATCACTGTCTTATGGAGCTTATAATCTATAAATGCACTTATTTTATTTATTAAATAAAATCAGTGAATTCCTTAGAATTCATCCATAAAAGCTAATTCATCGCCACATTTTGATGCCTCAAACAATGAAGGTTGGAACCCCAGATGGTTCACAAGTTTTTCAAAATGGCAAAAATTATAATTAGAAGTCTATTCCCCTATTCTTACCTGCCATCACCTCAAACCAGATGTATAATCAGAAGCTCAGGCAGCCACATCTAAAGCGTACAATTTTCACAGAGAAGCTGTAGCTCTGTGGTTGGTCTCTGGCCTTCCACCTAGATAATGAACATGCCACCGCTTCTACTTTCTAGTCTCTGCTACCAGTCCAGAGGTCAAGTCTATATATGCAAACTTCCAAAATCCTGGGGGCAG